AACGTGGCTACCAAATATGACTCAGATCACTTTAAATGTTACTACACAAAGTGATTTCGAAAATCTTGAAACAGTATGCAAGGCGAAAGAAAAGCAGAAACCTACATGCACTGACATGAACATTATTCATAATCAATGTTCAACAACATTAACACTGAACTTCAGCAGAACTCGGGGATGTGATTATCAATGTTTTTTCTTAACAAAAAAACATGGCTTTGCTGATGCACCTTCAGAGGAGTTCATTATGTCAATACGTAAGTCACGAATAATTCAATAAAAGAACACATAGTTTTTCATCGTATAGCGCCTCCAAAACCAATCATCGTTTCATCAACATGGGCTGCTCGATATATCTCAGTGCATTGGACAATCGATGAACCTACTTATGTCGATCAATTTTCTGTCATTGTCAACGGTACCAGTATGACAGTTTCGGATAGAATAGCTCGTTCATTTAATTACACGAATGGAATTCGTCCTAATCGACAGTTAGTATGGATTTATCAATGTACTATTAATTTGAAATGTCAACAAACATCTCCTTTTTTGATTTTATCGTCATGCAGTGTTGGTCAGCTTACCAAAAGAAATGAAACTTTTGACGAGTATTTCGTTCGGAAAAGTTCTTGAGCTGTCATTTCTTATAAGCTCATTACAATTAGAACTCGGCTAAGTGATCTGATAAAATGTGACAACCATGATCTATGCCGCTTAACACTCAGAATACAAAATGTATCATAGTATCAATTATAGATCTCAAGATCAATATTTGCATATGATAATTGAATATTTTTCTTCGATGAAAAATTATTTGATAAACTTTCACTATACAGTTTCTGACACCTAACTCATGAAAAAACTAGTAAAACAGACAACAATAGAATTTTTACCAAATCTTAAATTCCTAATATCGTTAGAAATAATTATTTTCAGGTATCAACTGCATGTAGAGCTGATTTCAAATCAAAGAATATGGTCTGATGAAATAGTCCATCAAACAGCAGAGGATGGTATTCTTGCCTTTATATTCATCTCTTTCTTTGAAATTCTTTTCTTTGCTTTTCTGTGAAGTTCCTGAAAAGCCAAGTAATGCTGATGTTGAAAGAAAAATCATCGATTCCAGTGATAATGGAAACATGACAGCTAGTCAACATCCTATTTATATCGATGAGTCATTGTTTTCGAGCGATAATGGTATCTTGCTCAAATATTTGGTCTATGTCCGTCAGAGTAAGATATTACCATAATCTACCATAAAAAAGTGATTTATGATTAACATTCTTCAAGACATACACAAGACCATTGAAGAACCTGACTTGAATGGAACATACGAAGATGCTATGCATAATCCTTCAATAGACTATTTGGCTGTTGAAATTCCAGTCTCTACATCAAGAAAAAAGTATGTGTAGAACTAATATAGACCATTATTGATCAAGTTGGATTGCATCGATATTGTATCCTTTGCTATTCTATTAGACAAACAGCGAATTTCGCTAAGAATATTAGTTTAATGCTCGGAAATGAGACAAACTGCGCCAATCCCAGAATATGTAATGGTCCACTAAACATCGACACTAAATTCAGGTGAGAATTTCATTTGTGAGGTGTTAGTTTTATGTAAATGAATATTTTACAGAGTGCTAGTGGGATGTTGCACAAGTGCTGGGTGTACATTTGTTCTATCAAAAGAATTTACTACCAAGTCGGGTGAGTTATCTATATATGTATGTTTAAAATCAATTTGGAGAAGATGTATTTCTTAGATATAAAATATATGTATATGTTCGAATAATTATTTACAGTTGATCGTATGATGAAATTTTCGATGTCGAATATTAATTTAATTTTTCATAACATTGTTTATAATACTATACTTCCATTCAAACTTGTATGTAAATGAGTACGAGAAGGAAAAGAGTTGACAGTTATGAGAGAGAGAGAAAGAGAGGATAGTATGATTATCATTACACATAGAAAATAATTTAGATCTATAAGCTTTCAACATCTGCAACTTTCAATGCATTTTCTTTTGTAGAAGATTTTCATTCTACAATATGATTCAAAAATTTTCAACAAAGAAGGCTTATTCTGATGATGAAAGTGGCTGAAAGTGTATGTCATGAAACTCACATTTCAATATATTCTTTTGATAAAAATTAATACATAAAAGAATGAACTAAGGAGCCGTTCTGTGAAAATATTTTATCTGATATTTTTTTTTTTTTACAAAACACACAAAAGCTCTTGATCAACCTAACTGTGTGAGAATAAGCACTGTTATTTTCAAAAAACATTCGTAAGTATTCGCTGAGTAGAAATTATACTCTATACGGAGTTCCGAGGGTTGGCTTCATTTGAGTCTTAGCCGAATTAGGTTTAGAGATGCACAATGATAGCTTTATTTTCGTTAGTAAGATTCATTATCAAATGAGAGCACAAACAATAACGAACGTATTATTGCCTTGGTTAATATTTTTCTAGTTCACTATATCTGAAGCACAATTTCCGAACAGGCTGTATTGAATCCTGATCGGAGAAAAAATATTGTTGTTTAAGATCACTACCGAAAGAATCAGTGACAATCTCGAGCGAGTCGAACTATAATCCAACGGGATTGATTTTTCTCTGGAAACTTCTCTAAACTTTCAAGAAAAAATCAATGTTATCATTACCTAGAAGAATCAGGTTAACGTTCATTAGTATAGAAAATTTAACTAATTTCTTTCTTGGTGTTCCAATAATCTTCGCATCAATGAATTGCATAACATTTTTTTGAATGAGCTCAATAATTATATTTTTCATTATTTTATCGTAATAGCCGCCACACGAAAACGACGTGCATCCCTAATGTGGTTTATCGCTATTCCTATAATCGTCATTTTGCTAATATTTGTTGGTCTCATTGTGTGGAAGTGGAAAGGAATACAGAGAGTTCGCTCTAATGGCTATGAGTATGTCTATTGCGATTATGTGTTCATAGTTTGTTATTGCTTTCACAATTGCATTTTAGGTCAAGCCTCAATGAACATGACGATGAGTCCATTCAGTAAGTTTGTAACAGTCAGTCATCAAGCTATTGACGATTTTTTTTCCTTTATAGGATGCAACAGACGGCTAATTAGAATGATGCATAAAAAAACAAGGGAAAAAATTAGCTTTTCAGTATTTTTAGCATTAATAAATTAAAATTTTCTTGCTGTTTTTCATTTTTTCTACTTTCGGAAATACTTAAGAGAGCATACATCATAGTACAAAGGAACCAAAGCACTGTTCCAAATTTAAAATTTAGTTTTTTGTGTGCTTTCGACAGGACAATATCTGAAACTATTAAACCTAAATTTTTAGTTTATTTGGACTTTTTATAGTAAAGTTAGTCTACATCGACTTCTAGCACCGACCATCTACTATCAACAAAAATAATTACGAATTATTTTATAAATGTTTGCAGAGATTATAATACCAGAAGTGGAAAAATTTTCGCATACGATATACCGAATGTTAGAGCATGGATAGATGACAAAAGCGAACTATTGGAAACATCATTTCTTTGCTAGGCTAACATGAGTGGAAAAGGGTGTGGGTGTGTATAGGCAATCAGAACACCCACACCCTCTTTGAGAAGGATGCATGAGTGGGGGTGCAGATGTAACGTAGGTAATGTGAAATCCTACACCCGCACCTACCCTATGATTTAAATCAGCTTGAAAGCAGTCGAAAATCATCCAAAGTTATTTCAGTTTTAGTAAGCATATGTGAGTATTTGTACCTTTCAATGATTTTCAATCGTTTCCGGTGATTTTTCATTTTTCTAATCTCACAAATCTCATAAATCGCTAATCCTCCATGCCCTTTATGCTTGATACAACTCGTTGTTTTTCTGATGCAACTCGCCAAAAAAAAGATAAACCTTGAATAATTTGTTTTTAATATAATATAGAGCTAAAATTAGTGAGGCGGCATGTGCTATATGATGTATCGAAATCGAACTGAAATATCAACCTTTGTCACATCGTTCTTAATTCACTGTTTGATATCCTTTTTCTTAAATTTGTCTAGAAATCATACAAATAAAAACTTGCTACGCATTCACAGAAGATCTAGCCATAGTCATACGTTCAGTCTCCATTCTCAGATAGGGCCTGTTGTAAATGAATAGCGCCGATGCGCTGATAAAAAATACAACCACACTGAATATGGAAGCAAGCGTAAATATGTGACCAGATTCATAGACTGATGCCAGTTTTATGAGATAACTATGAACGAAGATAAAAATGGCCCCTAGAACATTACCAACACACAAGAGCAATTCAGTGGACCATTCGGCACTTACCGAATAAGTACATTTAACGGGACACTCAAAAGTGACGGGCAAGAGCGGTAGTAAGAATAAACCCATGAGGCCGATTGAAACAGCTAGTGGATAAAACATATGAGGCCGAAAAACGACTATGAAATAAGCTGATGAGCCACATGCACCAACTAGTAACACTTTGAGCATCAACAGATAGGCATGTGTTCGATCCATTATCACAGGGTGTGGGTGTGGGTGTGGGTTTGGGTGTCCGTCTTTTGATTGTCCACACTCACCCACACCCACACTCACACCAAACACCCGCACCCACACGCACACCCACAACTCACAAATATCGAAAATGATATTAATGCAACTTGAATACACATTAATTACATTTAAATGTAACCTATGAATCCTTGTGTAGATTATGCGCACAATGTTGGTGATAGTGAAGGTAAGTGAGCTGAATTAGATGCACTTTTGATAATTTTCACTTCAACTTTTTTGTTATTTCGATGCTTTTTACTTCGATCTTTGTTTCTTTCTGCTACATCAATGTCAACCTTTTGATTACTTCACTACTATCATTGCAATCATTCAAAAGTAAAATTGTATTACTTGATTGCAGTGAACACAAAGAAATAGAGAAATGACGATAGAAACAGTAAGCGAAATTAATCAACATATAGATAAAACGTCGATGGAACCTGAAGAAAAAGTTCATCATCATCAACATAAAAATGTTCAATATACAAATTCATCTTTTGCTGTTCTATTGTCTGCCTTTTGTTCATTGGCTGGATGGTTTTTTGGATATGATCAAGGTGTTACTGGTGGTATAGTTGTCATGAGTTCATTTAAAAACGAGTTTTGTGTTGGTGTATATGCCAATACAACTGTTTGTGACCTTCCAGTAGCTGCGTTGCCTTCAGATTACAGAAGATTTTTAGTACTATTTACTTTTATGTATAATGTCGGATGTTTTATTGGTGCTATGTTTATTTCTTCATTTGTGGCAGAAAAATTTGGACGTCGAGCAATTATTTTCACTTCAGCAGTTCTGTTTTTAATTGGGACCTCAATAGTTATTTTTCCACCAGGAGGTTCCAAAAAGATAATGATTTTGATACTTATTGAACGGATTATCGAAGGAACAGGCGTTGGTTGTTCTTCATTTTCTTGTCCATTATATGCTTCCGAAATAGCTCCAACAAATCTACGTGGAATGCTTTTCGGTTTCATGCAAATGACTGTGGTAACTGGTTTGTTTGCTGTCAATGTGGTAAATTTTTTAATACAAGATCATAAATGGGGCTGGCGATTGTGAAATGGAATTATTTTAATCGCTCCGATTACTATTATGATTGGCATATTTCTCTGTCCTGAAACTCCTCGATACTTGTTCAAAAACAAGAATCGCGAATCGGCAGAGAAAAGTTTAAAGCGTATTCGTCAAACAGACGATGTAACTGCTGAATTAGATGCTATTGCTGATGCTATACAAGAAGAAGGTGATCACTTTTCAATCACAGAACTATGCACAACAAAGAAAATGCTTGAAAGACTTGGTGTGGGGGTAGCCATGCATATTTTACAACAAACAACGGGTATTAATCCTGTATTTAATTTTGGTGGTATTATATATCAAAGTGTTCTTGGAAAAGGCATCATATCATTATTGATTTTGTCTGGTGCAAATATGTTAAGCACAATACCAGCCTTATTCTTATTTGATAGACTAGGACGTCGAAAACTTCTTATATTTGGTGGCTTAGGCATGGCAGTTGGCCATTTTCTAGCAGCAACAGTATTTGCCACGGGTTGTGACGTAATCAAAACTATCATCAATGGTACTATAGTAAATGAAGAAACTGTGAGTTGTCAAACAAGTTCTGGTATATATATGCTTTTCTTTACAGCTATTTTTGTATGTTTTTTTGCACTCTCTTGGGGACCAGTCGCTTGGATTTATGCAGCTGAGATTTTTCCTCTTAATATTCGAGCTAGAGCTGTTCCAATAACGACAGGGAGCAATTGATTTCTATGTATGGTTATGGCTTATGTATTGGAGTTAACAACTCCATTAGGAATACATGGAGTATTTTATCTTTTCGATGGTCTGTGTTTATTCTCTGCAGTATTCGTATATTTTTTTTTGTCCAGAAACAAAAGGAATTTTACTACAAGATATTGAACAAGAGTTTGATAATTTTCAGTTGAAGAATAGAACAGTAGTAAAAGCGATTCGGGCATCATGTCAACGGAACAACAAAAGAACGGCTGAAGTGGATATTATTGCGATGCAATAATAATGTACTTAATGCCATTGTTTACTTGTCATCTCTCTTTGCTTTTCCTTCTTTCTACAGCGACCATTCATTGTTGATTATTTTATCGTTTATCCCTTCTCTTTCTCATCTCATATATAAGGTAATGAATGATATAGAAAAGTGACCACAGTTGTAATAATAAAAGTGGTTGTAGATGATTAGATTAAGAAGTCGTTACAAACTATCGAATTCATTTTGTTTTATAAACTTGAAAATATTTTCATCCATTTTGAAAATAATAAAATATTCCAAATTAATGATTTTGGACTCTGGATACAGCGAAAACTCACTGAAAACGGCCAAAAATATGCGCGAAACAGAATGGCAGTATTACAGATCGAAAAATCATAAAACTATATTATATCCACCGAGAATCACACCGAAATTGAATCGTATCTTGAGAGTGCAAAGCAACTTTTTTACCTTTTCGGATTTTTATCTAAGCGAATGGCTGGTTTTGAAGACTTTTTTGAGTTGATCTTTGTTATTATTTTTACACGAGTGAATTACAATAATACTCAAACAAAATAATACCTATCTTCGACAAGAATCACCGATTTGTCGGTTGGAAGTTATTGATATCATGCAACTGGAAAGAACAAGTTTCAAGCCGTATCTTGTCATCGTATGTGGTTGTCAGATTCCAGCGCCACAGCCGAGTTGAAAATGGTAACTGTATACGAACGTCACCATCAGGTTTCAGCATTCGCTGGAAGTTCATCCGATCCTCCTGTTTTTTGCCGCACATCTTTGACCTAAGATAAAAATAAAAATTCACTTAGTATGTTACATTCACATCATAATGAATCTGAAGATAAAGATACATGGATTTTATCAATTCAAGATGCTGATCTTTCACTATATCAAGTAAAATTTCTTTGACTTTTTATTTTTATTTAATTTTAAAATAATGTATTTGTTTTTTTGTTCTCTTAAGGGATTGTATGATATTCGATTTGCAGATGAATAATGAAAATATTTAAAAGATAAACATACAATTAAAAGTATAATTTATTAATTTTCGCATATTAAAATATTGAATTTGATTCAACCAAATATTAAATTTGGAGAACTTTAAATTGAACGATTGATATTTATAAAAATAAATAAATAAATAAGAAAAGTGTAAAATAAAACATTATTACAATACAAAAAAAAAAAATAAAAATAAAAATAGTCTTTTTAATGTCACGTACCCATATATCCTTCAACTTTCTTCTGCCATTAGAGCTTTTGTTTTTCGAATTGAAGACACAACTGGATGTTTTGACGATAATACATGATTAGCTATTTCTTCTGCTCGTTCTAAATATTGTTTTGCTTGTTCAATATTTCCTAGATGTGTTTGAACAATTGCAAGATTATGCAATGTACGAGCTATATTTGGATGATCGCTTGGTAATGATTGTTGTTGTAATTTCAATGCAATTTCATATTCTTCACAAGCTTTTGAGTAATCTTTAGCAGCTAAATAAACGTTACCTAAATTAACTCTTGGTACTGCATGATTTGGATGATCAGGTGGAAGAGAATTATCATAAATTTTTTTTGCTTTACGATATTTAACTACTGCTTCATCATACTAAATAAAGCGCAGAAAAAAAAAAGAAATTTAGATTTATTTGAAAATCTCTTGTTGTTGTTGTTTTTGTCGTCTTACGTGTTGTCGATCACAATCAATAGTACCTAAATTAATTAATGTTCCAGCAACATCAACATGTTTTTTTGGAATACTTTTTTTATATAATTTCATAGCTCGTTGAAAACATTCTTCTGCTTTTAATTGTCGTCCTTGTTCACTATAAACAATTCCAAGACCATTCAAAGCTTTTCCTGCACTTGCTAAACGTTTTGGTCGAGCATCCATATGTAAATTATATGCACGATGATAACAATTTATTGCACGATTAAAGTCACCTTTTAATTGATGTGTACGACCAAAATTGAAAAATATACAAGCAATTTCTTCATCATTTGGATTCATAGAATTAAGAATTGTATCAAAATATCTTTCGGCTTTAGCATATTCACCCATTTCAAGAAGTAAATTACCAAACATGAGAAATATATTTGATTCAATCATTTTTTTCTTTTGATATTCCATATATTCAGCAGCAAAATCAGTACCTTGATTAGTTGCATGAACTTGAATATGCCATAAATCTTCTTCGACACTGTACTGACATGAATCAATTTGAAAAACTGCTCCTATATAAAAGAAACTAAGAATTTCGTTTATATGATATTAAATTAGATTATACAACGAAAGAATTTTAAAATTTTGATGTTTTTCTTTTGCATTCTTTTTTTCATGCAATAAAAGATATTTATTATGTATTAACAACTATGATCATAGAGAAGCTCCACATCGCTATAATCAATCTTGTTTTTAAAGGACGTCATCAATTAGTAAATAGAAATGATTCATGGTTTTATACATATGTGACTCTTGTTGTATCTTATTTTTTATTATAACAATGTCATATATTTCTTATATTCTTCTTGTGTTTGCATGTTTACTATATACATAATATTGTGATTTAATTAATTGTTCTTTTTCGGATAGTTATAAAAGAAATAGTCATTGGTTTACAAATTGCAATTTTACTAACGATGATGTTGAGCATGACGACTATAAGTTGAGATGGTCAGATAAAGAAGCATATTTACTCATAGATATTGAGAAAGTTTATTAATGATGATATTGTCAAAGAAATTTATATATCATATTAAGAATGGAAAGAATTATTGAGAAATCAACAATAAAAGAAAAAGATATTGATATCAATTACAGTGAATAACTTTAATTAAACATAATTCTTGAAAATAGCACTTCTAGACTTAGTTCGTAGAGTACTTGATAGACATTAAAGATACTACTTTTCTATATAAATCCGTTATTATCTATATGAAATATATAAATTTGAAAATCCTATGTTACACATTTTCTTACAATTTTTTTTTTAATAAATCTATTTCGATAATCTGTTAGTAAGATTATACGATTACATTGTCTATAGTATTCTCTAACAAACATTCAAATATGGTGGTAAAATTATGAAAATTCGTTTCAAAAAAGTGATTACACAAATAAATAACTAATATTATGTTAATCTCAATCTAAGTATTTTAATAGATTGAATGACAAGAACAAAATCTTCAAATTAATCATCGAATTATCCAAATTAGAGTTAGAAAAAAAAGATCTTAACATTGAAAAATTCTAAACAGTTTATTTTTTTGATTTAAAATAAACTTTTCTTACCAATATCAACTAGAAATTCAGCTTGTTCAGGAAATGTTGAATATTCTCGAACATCAGCAATAACGATTGTTTGAACAATATTTAAATCAACTTGATATTCAAATAAAACTCGTTCAAAACCTTCACTTTTAGGAGATTTTGTTGCAAAATCATATGCAACTGAACGTATACTACTTGTTAATAAATATTCATTTGTTGATATTAAATTTCCAATACTTCTTTGAAAATTTTCTACTTCATCATGATTTAATTGTGAATGTCGATAAAGTCGAAGAACATCTTTCTGTTTTTCTTTAAGTTCTAAAAATTTCATTTCAAGTTGTTCACTTAAATCCATAATATAAAAACGAAATTGATATAAAACACTAACATCTTCTGTACGAAGTACTTTATTAATAAATCTAAATATAAAACAAACATATTTATAAATAAAATATTTTTTTTTTTTTTGTATTTTTAATAAACTTACTTATTAATAAATGTATCTTTTATAAACCATGGTATAGCATCAGCTGATTTATACGTTCGATCAAATTCATCAATATTTACTAATTCAGTTAAATTTCCATGATAATAATTTCGGCATGTTGTAATCATGGTTTTTTTAGCTTCACCTGTTGTAGGCATATGTTTTAATATATTTTTAAATAATTGAAAAAATATAAATGAACCAGCTTCTTTTGAAAGATCCCGTGTTGCTTTTTCTTTGATATTATACATACTCAATGCAACTATATGTTGATCAAGTTCTTCACGAGATTTTCTTATACTATCTATAAGTGTTTCTTCAGTTTCACATAAATAAACAAGATAAGCATATTGTCCTTTGTTAATATCGTCAATTATATCAGGTGATGAAGAATAAAAAAATACTGAATCAATGTGTTTTAATGATTTAATAGCTTCAAGAAAACTCGTCGATGGTGAACCATCAATGACAAGAAAAATTGTATCATTTATTAGTATCATATAATCAATACACTCTTGTTCCACAGTAAACGTCTGTAATGATTATTTAGTTAGATGCTTAAAAAAAAAAACTTTATATATGAAATAACTAACTTGAAGAGTACTTCTTTTTGACCGAAGTATGTCGATAATATGTTGGTTTGGTGTTTCACAAGCAAAATAAATCAGTTTTGTCCCATCATTTTCGCTTTCATTCTCGGCATCATGACCTTCATATTTTCCTACTTCTTCTTCGTTTTCTCGCTGTGCATCGACATCATTATCGATATCTTCTTCATGATATAGTTTTTTAACGGTTCTTTTATGACGAATTGTGCAGCATTTTAAAAGCGACATATTGAAACGTGATATCAAAGGATAAAATATCTAATTATTTTGTGTCGACTTACGTTGTAGATTCATTTCTTTGAATAAACAAACACTGTTTGACACACTCGAATGATCAAGATGATTGCCAATGAAAATAGTCATTTTATGAGACACATATTTATCAAAATATGATGTTCTATATGAATAGACTAAAAAAATGTAGAAAAAAAAGCAAAAAAAAATATTATCACGATTTTGATCGATGAAATTAGGAGACGAAACAATATCACATCAAATATAAAATTTAGCCGTGAAAAATAAAATTTCAGTATTAAATGTTGTAGCAATTTACGTAGTTTATTTGGATATAAATAGCATTATCTTATGAGAATAAATAAGTTTGTGAGAAGAAGTCTAATTTGTTTTTGATTAAGTAATTAATGGATACAAGATTAGAAGAAAATGAATAATGATTTTCAAATATGATTCTTTTTTTTTTTTATTTCTTGACATGTTAATTAGTTTCTTTAATTGTAGACATAAAAGACTAGAGAAAAAAAAATAAGCTCAAGAATATATTTGTTCTTAGGGTACTATATTTTCTTAGAAATCGAACTTCTTTGATTTTTACATCGATCAATCTTAATTAAATTTCAAATTTTTCTCATGCAACTCAGTTATTATCTTTGAACATTATTTAGGAAATGAGATCTGAAATTCTACAAGTAATTCATCAAATTGTTCATCACTTAATTGTGTTACATTTATTAGAATAGTTTATTTATATAAAATGAATCTTGTTTTAGTTTTTAATTCTTAATATTATGTCTTGCTATCATTCTATAAAATTCTTCAATTAAAGATTTGTATTGTTTTTAACAACTACAAGGTTGAAAAACAAACATGCAGTAGGGTTTTATTTGCTAGCTCTTTTTCTAAAAATATAAAACTCAATTAAGTTTTCTTAAGCAAACTATAAGATGATATTAAAATTTATTTGCGTCATGAAAAACTAACGATTATATCATCATAACTGAACTAAAACAATCTCTGATCTATACGATTTTAGCTACGAGCCAGATATGTCCATTGCGGTTGAAAACTGACCGCTGCCACGCCGCTACCGCACCGCGGTGATAAAAACAGAAAACCTACCGCGACGCTGCCGCGACGCCACCGCCACAGCGGCAGCGGTCGCGCCGCGATGGACATCTCTTCTTCAAGCTATGATGTTTTTCTATGTGAAAAGAACTTCATTATTTGAACAATCATCACAATCGTAGTTAACGCTATTGGCAAAAAATATTCTTAAGTAATATGATTTGTTGTTATTGATAATGACTTAATCTTTCGAAAGAAATGATACAAAAGCATGATTTTTATCAATCGAGAAAATATTTTCATTTTGCTAAAAAAGTATTTGAGACAAATCAATACCCATTTCAAGAAAAAAAAAGGAAAAGGGTGAGTATTTTTTGAATAACATTTTATAGAAACTAGACATAGAAAGCTGCTGTTTTCATCGTTTAAACGAGGAGATGAAACTTTATCGAATAGTGTAGACTAGATTTTTCTGATCAGTGTTGTTAGATTCTCTCCCCACTTTTTTTTCAAAAAATCCAGGCTTTTATAAGGTGGATTTTTTGTTAAAAAATGAGAAAAAAAGCCAGTTTTTCTATGAAAAATCTGCCGATAACATGTAGAAAAATATGTATAACTCATGATTGACTAAGCCTTACAATGTCGGACTTATATAATTTATAGATCTTCAATTAATGATTCTATGAAATTCCTGAAAGTTGAAATTGAAAACTTTTACATTAAACAATATTTTGTTTTTAACAAACTTGATAGTAGACTTTAAGAAAACTTGTCGGAAAAATCTGATACACATGATTCGATGCAGTTTCATCTCCTCTTTTAAACAGTGAAAATCGCAACTCTTTATCTAGTTTCTATCAAAAATCATTCAAAAAATAGTCATACTTTTTTTGTCTTTTGAAATAGATATTAACTATTTTTATTAAGTTGATGTAGTTCTAAGATCATCGATTAACTACTATTTTTCGAGATCTTATCGATCCAATAACGATCAACTGAAATTGTGAATATCAATGTCTATGAAAATTTCCTTTCTGTTCAATACAAAAATTTTTAAGACAAAGCAAGACATCGAAATACAGTTTTGGAGCTTCAAATTTTCGCTCCCAAAAAAATACCGAATCAATATGCTTGTTCAGTTACATTTTTCTCAATGATGTTCATTGTTGAATAGATTGAAAGATCAATTTTTACATTCGAACTTGTTTTGTTTCTGAGATAATCACTATTCAAACGAATGACAGACAACATCTAATTTGACATTAGTTATCATAATTATAGTCACATGTTTCTTCTGATCTGTAATCATTGCATGTCAATGATATTACTGCATTAGTGTTTCTATTTTTCACTTCTTTTAAGTATTCAGTGTTATTTTGTCTTTTATCTCTCTTGTTAAATAATTAATTTATACACATATTTGTCTACATATGAAGAAATAAACTAAGCAACTATAAATTTCTCCTCCAAAAAAAGAAGGAAAATCATCTTCTACAATCCTGTGTAGTCGTCGTTTTCAATGTATTCAACCATATTCTTCACTCTCATCAATGCAATGAATATGTCTATGCAGGGATGTGGCGATCGTTGGATATAAGGGATGTGCACACTCCCCACTTGTGAAAAGTAATGATAAATTTTTTAGATTAATTGCTTAAGAAGTTTTTTTTTTTTTTATAAAATCTCGAATTAAAAACGTCCGAAAAAATGATAACCTAAATGTGAAATGTTCACAATTTGAACGAAATAACTCGTTTGTTTATGAATTGTAGTCGTTTCATAGAGGTCGCAAATGAATTGATGATAGATTAAAAATTCAACATGAATAAGGCTAAATGAACGTCAACACTAGATTCATTTGTCGTTGAAAAACTCAAATATATATTATCAATATCGTCAAATTCTAATATAGATCAACATGAAGGAGAAGAATCAATTGTTATAAGAAATAATAGTACCCCAATGTAAATCAAAATATTGTTACTGAGCGTGCAAATGAAATAGCAACATCATATGTTAATCATGATAGTGGATCATTATCTATTCAAAACAATTATTGTATTTCAATAAATTTAACAACATCGAACGATGATTGTATTTTGTTGTCTTCCATTTGTTCTAATAGTGCTGATGTTGAATGTATTGATATTAATTTGCAGACATTTAGCTATAATTTTTTTCATGATGGATGTGAGTGTGGATCCTCGCTTCATTCACACTCACACTCACACCCAGTTTATCACCTAAAAGAAAATATCGATAACATTTCATCATAAATTTTTAGTGGTCACTCACGAGAATTATAAGAAAAAGTTGAATTGAACTTTGAATGAATTTATATTGATGTGGGGTGTGGGTGTGAGTGTGCGTGAAGAGAACACTTAGACTGACACTCATACTCCTACCACACCCATTTACACCTACACCCTTACTTCTGATACTATTTTTCTGGACCTGTCACTTGCTTTTCTATAAACTTCAAATGACAATTAAGAAAGTTTTTCAGAAATTTATCGTAATTCGAATCTACAAAATACATTGTCTTTGTCTTGAAAAAGTATGTTCTGAGTTGCCGTATGGGCCTAAACCTCAGGGTGAGAATGAATGTGAGTGAAGGTTTTCTTGGCATTCAAATCTTCACTCTCGCACACGCTTTTTTTTATAGTCATCATTTGGATGAAACATGATAAGAGCTGTATTATTCGTTGTTATCTCTTCCTTTTTTTTATGATGATTTTAAGTGGCAAGATATACCGTTTTCTCAGCTAATACGATAAGTCAACTATATATACAGATAAAAGTTAGCTATCAAAAAGTCCAACTAGCATCGAACTAATGTCCTTGATGCATTTGGAGTTACTTCGGAAATTTGTCGAAAGCGAATAATGAAATATTTTCACTAAAAATACTCCAAAATATTCTATGTTTAAACAGTTACTCAATGCTTTCTGTTCTTATCATAAACTTCAACTTATGGTTTGGTAAATATATGTAATTTCTAGTGTCACATGTATGATGGATTTATTCTGTCTACTAAGAAAAAAGAAGTATTTTATAACTCAAAGTCATCATAAAACGACAATAAAACAGCATATTGTGTAGACTTTATCATTTTACATCTAACTGGCGACTCTCAATACACTATCACATTAAGAGAGTATGTATGGATGCATTATTGAGATCTTGATTCTTGAAAGAATAAAGCATTTTTAAAATACATTGGTATAATAACTTAATAATGATCTAGTGCTGGTAAATAATAATTTATTGAGCAGTCTATAGAGTAGATCTGATAGGACCCAATCATTGTCATCGCTCGAGTATGAGTTTCATCCTTTTCTTTTTCATGTGTAGGATACTTCAACTGACACATCATATGTATAACGATGTGATAACTATTCCTTGATCAAATGTTCTCATCACACCAATAGATTCAGATCTACAGAACGGATTGCTGAAGATATTTATACCAACATTAAAGAACAATAGAGAATAAAATAGAATCAACGATTCGTTATCATATAATAATATTGTTTTGAAATGTTTTTCGTATACCTGCATAAAAAAATGTCCTTAAAGTGTCTGAATTTCAATATATGATCAAATGATGTCATTTTTATTTTTCAGTTTATCATTACAACATCTATCAACGATGGTCGATAGAAAAGAAAACAAAGAAAGTATTACTATTGTTTGGTTTGATTCCGATATACATTCTCACAATCGTGCAGTAAACATCAATGAACGATTACGTGAAATAAATGATTATGTTCTATATTACAGTGAAATTGAGCCTTGCATAAATTATATGAAGTCGATTGATAAAGAGAAAATTTTCTTGATTACATCAAGTACGAATGCCTCTCAAATATTATCTCAGATCAATATGCTTCCACAAATCAATTCATTCTTCATATTTGATTTCGACAAAAATCAAAGCAAAGAGTTCGTTTTTGAACATATGAAATTCATTGGTATCTATACTGAACTAGATAATTTATATTCATCAATTCAAGAACACATTGAACTTGATAATGAATTATTTCAAGAGTTCAGTTTCTTTGATCAATCAGAATATTCAACACAAGATCTGTCGAAACAAACTTCTGATTTATTTTGGTTTCAACTTGTTAATAATATTATTTTAGAATATTCACATAATCAATTAGTCAAAAATGAAATGATCGGTTTATGTCGTCAATATTATCAAGATAATTTAAATAATTTGAAATTAATTGATGAATTCGAACATGAATATCATTCAAATAAAGTTATTCAATGGTTTTTGAAAAGATCATTTCCTTATAAAATGATTAAGAAAGCATTACAAACAAAAGATATGGATCAATTGAATACATTGAGATATTTTATGAGCGATCTTATACAATGTTTTGTAAGTCAACCTCATAATACAATTCAATATGAAAAAGAAAATCTTATTGTTTATCGAGGAATCAAATTATCGAAAGAACAACTTGATGAATTCAGAAAAAATCAAGGAAAACTTCTCTTAAATAATGGATTTTTGACAGTAACTCAATCTCGTTCAAATGCATTGAATTTTGCTAGAGAGTCAACACAACAAATAAATGTTGTTGCTGCAATTTTAGAAATTGAATGTAAATCAAAAGATTTCGGTAAAAGTATTATCTTTACTGACAGAGACAAATCTAAAGGCTTGTCTAATCAAGATGATGTTATTTTCAATTTAAATGTCACGTTTCATTTGGATAAAGTTGAATTTTATGAAAATATCTGGATTATTAAATTGAGTACTTCGAATGAAGGAGAAATTATTTTAGAAAAATATATTAATGATACACGTCAACAAATTGGAAATCTTAACATTGAACTTATATTTGGACGTCTTATGTTAGATATGGGTCAATGGAATCAATCACAAAAATATTTTGAACGTTTATTAATCGATTCAAATGATAAAAATCAAGCATGGATAGAATATAGTCTTGGTGAAATTCATCATTTGAAAGGAGAATGGATTGTGGCACGTAAATATTATGATTGTGCTTATGATCGAATGATGAATCCGAAACAAATGTATATCAAAGAATCCGCTAAAATACTTTCCGATATTGGAGAACTTCTTTATGCTGAAGGAAAGTTTGACGAAGCCATGAATTTTCATGAAAGAGCATTACAAATCCGAAAAGAATATTATTCTTCTGATCATCCTCATATCGCTCATAGTCTACGTAATATTGGAGATATTTTCTATAAACAAGACAAATACGATGAAGCATTTGTTTATTTTCAAGAAGCACTTACGATTTTGGAGAAATATTACAATAGTTTTCATGTTGATATTGCTAAATGTTTGTCGTCTATTGGACATTATTTTCGTGAACAAAGAAATTATGATAAATCTCTTGAATCTTATCGACGATCTTTAGCAATCTATGAAAAATACTATCCTTGTGGTCATGTATGTATTGCTTTGACACTCAATAGCATTGCAGATATTCTTTGCGGACAAGATAAAAATGATGAAGCTTTGAATACTCATGGTCGAGCGCTGGCAATGCACAAGCAATTTTTTCAATTTGATCATATTGATATTTCTAAATATTTGTGTATTCTTGGTCATATTTACTCTGGACAAGGACATTATGATACTGCTTTAGAATCCTATCAGCAATCATTAGCAGTAGCGAAACAATATTTCTTCTCTGGTCATACTGATATTATATGTCTTTCGCATAATGTTGGTGTTGCTTTTAATAACTTAGAAAACTTTGATGATGCTATGAACTTTCATCGTCAAGCACTTGCTATGGAAGAAAAATATTATCCATCATTTCAAGCTAAAATAGCACAGACATTCATATGTATCGGAGAAGTTCTAAGATGTCAAGAGAAATATGAAGAAGCTTTAGATTATTATAAACAAGCATTAGTGATGCAAAAGAATTATTATCCTTTAGGTCATGTGAATATAGCTTTTACACTTCAAGGTACAGGTACTATATTATCCCAACAAGAAAAATACAATGAAGCTTTGGAATTCCATAAGCAAGCATCAATCGTGCTCGAAAAACATGGTCCATGTAATCTAAGTGACATCGCTTTTAATTTGATTGGTATTGGTCATATTCTAAGTAATCAAGAAAAATTCGATGAAGCCATAGACTATTATCAAAGAGCATTGGACATTCAAAAGAGTTATTATTACACGGATCATCCCAACATTGCTGATACATTTAATAGCATTGGTAATCTACTCTATCATCAAAAGAAGTATGATGAAGCCATGAAGTTTCATAAAAAAGCATTAGAGATTCAAGAAAAAAATTATCCTACAGGACATATCAAAATTGCTACTACATTCAATGATATCGGTCACGTACTGAAGGATGAAACGAAGTATGATGAAGCACTTGACTATTATCAACAGGCGGATTCACTACTTGTAAAATTTGGAAATTGTTATCCCTCGGATCAATTACAGATTGCTTTTAATTTAAGTTACATTAGTGATACTCTATATTTACAAGAAAAGTACCAAGAAGCTGTTGAATATCAACAACGTGCATTATCAATAAAAGAAAAATACTTACCATCTATTCATAACCAAATTATTACAAGCTGCATAAAGATTAGTCGTAGTTTACGTAGTCAAGAAAAATATGCCGATGCACTTGAATTTCAACAACGAGCTTTAGCAATTCAAGAAAAAATCGAACCATTTAATCACACAAATATAGTTGAACGACTTTGTGATATTGGTAACACTTTCTTCAACCAAAAAAAATACGACGAGGCTCTTGATTTTTATCAACGAGCATTAGACATGAAAGAAACATCGGATTCATCTAATCATAGCTACATTATTGCTCTACTCAGCAACATTGGTGAGATACTTAAACGGCTACAAAAACATGACGAGGCACTTGGATTTAAGAACCGTGAACTCAAAATGCGAGAAACTCATTTTTCGTCAAACCATCAGGATATCGCCGATAATCTTAATGACATTGGTATTATTTTGCACGAGCAAGAAAAATATGATGAAGCCCTTGATTTTTATCAACGAGCATTAGAAATGAGAGAAACATTCGATCCATCTGCACATCAACGTATCGTTGTTATACTCGACAACATTAGCTATACATTGAAGGATCAAGAAAAATATGATGAAGCTCTCGATTTTCTAAAGCGAGCACTCGAAATACGAGAAACTCATTGTTCATCCAATCATCTACAAATTGCACATAATCTCAATGATATCGGTATTATCCTCTTCAATCAAAAAAAACACGACGAATCCATTACTTTTTATCAACGAGCTTTAGAGATTAGAGAAACATTCGATCCATCTGGTTATGAAGGCATTGTTGTTATGCTCAGTAACATTAGCCATGCACTTAAGCAAGAGAAAAGATACGATGATGCATTATCTTTTGTATATCGAGCTCTTAACATACGAGAAACTCACCTTCCATCAACTTATGCACAAATTGCTCGTAATATCAACGACATTGGTCATATTCACTATGCACAAGAAAAATACATTGAAGCTCGTGAATACTATGAACGAGCATTAGAAATCACAGAGACATTCAATGCATCTGCTTATGACGATATTGCTGTTCTACTCAGTAACATTAGCCTTACACATAAGTGGCAAGAAGATTACTTTAAGGCACTCGATTTTCGAAATCGATCACTTGAAATACGAGAAACTCATCTTTCATCAAATCATCTACAAATTGCCGATGGTCTTAACGAGCTGGGTCATATCCTTCTAGCACAAACAGAATACAACAAGGCCCTTAGTTCTTATAAACGCGCATTAGAAATGAGAGAGACATTCGATCCATCGGGATATGAAAACATTGCTTGTCTACTCACTAGCATTAGCGATGTACTTAAGCATCAAAAGAAATTTGATGAAGCACTCGATTTTCAAAACCGATCTCTTAAAATACTCGAAATTAACTGTCCGACAAGCCATATATATATTGCATCGAATCTAAACAACATGGGCAATATTCTTCGACAACAAGGAAAATACGATGAAGCATTTGATAACTATCAAAAAGTATTAGCAATCTGTGAAGAGTTTTATTCATCTGATTATAAGAATATCCTTGTTTGTCTTGGTAATAACGCTGATGTACTTGAAGATCAAGAAAAATACAATGAAGCAATTCTCTATCGTCAACGAACACTAGCGATCAGACAAGAGCATTGTTCATCAGATCATGACGAAGTTGCAAATAATCTTACAAAAATTGGTGAACTTCATGTAAATCTAAAAGAATATGATAAAGCTCTCGAAGTCTATCAACAAGCATTGTCCATCAGAGAACAAATCTCTCAATCTGATCAAGTTGAGAATGATTATATTATACAATATTTCAGTTTTATTTTTTATCGACCGACAAAGTATAGTAAGATCCTCGATCTGGAGCAAAAAATATTGGAAATATATGAGATATTGTATCCCAATGGTCATGCTAGTACGATTTCATGTCTTAATCGTATTATAAACATTTTAAATGAACAAAAAGAGTACGGTGAAGCGTCCGAATTTCAACAGAAAGTACTGAAAGTTAGCTTGAAGTGCGGTCTATGCAGTCATAAAGATGCCGGTAAAACTCTCAGTGATATAGCTAACAAGATGTATCTACAACGCAGATATGGTCAAGCCATTGAATGTTATCAAGAAGCGTTGATACACTATGAAAAAGACGAACCATCTGACTATGCAGCCATGATCACTGCACTAGACAAAATGAGTTTAATTTTTAAACTACACCTAGAATACGATGAAGCTTTGGATGCGCAACGTCGGACATTACAAATTCGGAACGAAAACATACCATTGGATCAGTTGATGATTGCCAAAAATCTTGAAGAAATAGGTAACATACTCTTTCAACAAGAAAAATATGATGATGCTCTTAATTTTTATCAACAAGCACTAACGATATTCGAAGAAAATTGTCCCACAGATCATATTGAAATAGCTAATTGTTTACAAGAGATCGCTCTTGTTTGGAATTCAAAGGCGGATTATGATCGTGCTATTGAATATTTTGAAAGATGTCTGTGCATCAGAGAAACAAGTTTATCTTTGGATGATCCTGTGATTACTGACACTTTACTGAAATTAAGTCTAATTCAAGAAAAGGGAAATCATCGAGAACTTTCATTGGCATATGAAATAAACTATTGTTTGATGCATATAAAGTTTCGACCATTAGATCAAATAACTATTGGTGATAGTTTTTCTCGCATTGGTCAACATTACGAACATCTCAATGAACTCAAATTAGCAATCGATTATTATAAACGAGCGTTGAGTGTATTTCAAGATTATCTACCCGAATGGCATGAAAGACGAATAAATATGGAACTCAATATAGAGCGACTCTCAAAAGAAACAACCATATGAGAGATTAGCTTTAAAATTTTATACTAAAAATACTCTCATCAATACGAAACATTGATATTCAAGACATGTATCAAATTATATTTTAACATAATTGTAAAGTATAAAATGGTACTTCGTATTCTTTCTTCATGTATTTTTTAATTCTATTAATTGATTATTTTATCAATAACGTGTTGGATATGCATTAATGAAAAAGAGCGATGAAAAAATCCTTTTTTTTTTCCTTTAGAAACGCCAAGACAGTCAACTATAAAACAAATATACAAAACATAATATTTATTCAGACATCAATCACTGTATGTCTTCAACGATTTTCTTCACAGATTTATAGTGTCTCACACAATAATAGACATCAAAATTTAAACCTGATCTTAATTATAGAATATTTAAAATATGAAAATATTCCTCGAACTATTCGAGAATGGATAGTTCTGGAAAATATAAAGACGTTGTGCATAAACATCTTCAAGAGATCACATTGAGTTAACGTATCTCGCAATAGTAATATAAAGACTATTTTAAATCTTTGAAATCAGCCTTTATCGTTTATGCAACAGTAAAATATGATTATTATTATTTTGTGAAATATGATCTAAAAGAAGTATTGGTATCAATCTAGTTTATGTAAACAACGTCGTTTTTGCGGCAGGTGAGAATGAAGATATCTAAAAATATTTAATCAAATATGATGAAATGAATATGTTGAATGATAATCTTGATTCAACACAATAGTATTTCGAATAATAGGAGTCAAGTTGTATTGAAATTGTAAAAGTCTAACACGAGAAAGGTTCTCACTATCAACAAAATCAACCGATCTATGAGAACATATAATTATTTTGATTAAGAAATTCAATACTGTACCAATCACAGCATGTCGACTTTGCGTCTCTTAACATAACTGTATTTATCTATCAAAATAGATTTCTGTGTACTTCTTGTTCCAGCATAAATAATTCACCAGTTCTCTTTATAAAAAAGTAATAGTATGCATTTTTCCAGAGAAAAATTTAATGCGAGTCTGAAAAGTACATTCATTCGATTAGTTTGTCTTGAATTTGAAAAGTATCTGATTGTTTTTTTAGTGCAACTTCGTTTTTTCTGAAGCATCGATCAATTATTTGCTTCATTTGTATCAAATTTTCAAACGTTTCTGATGCAATCAAAACTACTTGCCGATACATTTGTTGAGCCAATCTATATAGGTTGCTCGTCCTGCATGGATGTGAGTGTGAGTGTGATAACTATTCCGGTTACCGGCTTCCATCGCAGTAAATAACCGCGGTCAACCGGTGGTTTTCACAAATACCGCGGTTTACCGCTAAAAATGATCCGGTTTTTGCAACATGGGTGGGCATGGATAAATTTTCAGATGAGCATCAATTTTTCCATCTTGAGATGAAATTCATTGTAGGAAAATAACTATCTTGATTTTTCTTGTATAAATTAACCATAAACATGAAATGAAAGAACAACATAAACTGCACTACATCGTTCTATTATCCAAGATAAAACAACAAAGTCAAATTTCTAAATAAAAATAGTTTTTTTGATTCTAATACTATTAAAATTTTTGATTTTTTGATTAAGATATTGATTGACGAACCTTCGTCTTAAAATTATGAAAGAAAAAGTAAATATTGACTATTCTATGTAATGGTTTTCATTCAAAGAACCTTGCCAAAGTATATTTCGGATCATATAATTTTACTTTGTGTAACATTATATTGATCTCCTCATCATCAACAACTAAAATGAATGTGTTCATAGAGGGCATCTGTCTCAATGAACTGATAAGAACTAGATGGAATTTCAATAATAGTACTGAAAAACATGTCAACAAAGAATTTTTCAGTGCACCCTATGAATCATGTTTATCATTTTCACATGTATTGTACACTCCTGTTAGGATTCGACCGTCGGACATGGCACCTTATCTGGCCTGAAACGGCTATAAAAAGATATATTACGGCATTAATTTTGACTTTATTACGCCGTAATCTAGTATGACGGATTACAGTGCCGTTTTTCTGGACCTGGATACTGATAATTAAAATATATGGAAGATAGTAAAGTCAACATTTCATTCATACCATTCATCTGTCAAAGGATTCAAACAAAACACTAATGAAATTTTACGAGGTAGTCAGAAAATAGTTGACCACTTATGAAATTATGTTGACAAGCATTTTTCGAAACCAATCTATGATTCAGGAAATAAAGAACATCTTGATAACTTAAAAACATACGAGCACATAGTCAGTGTACCTAAATTGCCAATTGAACAGCTTAAGATTTCAGCAAAAAGTTCACTAACATCTTCGGTGTTTCAGTGTTTTTATTAAAAGCATCTTCGAGTTGAATACATAACTATAATTACTATTATGTTCAACAAATGTATGACAAAAAGAGAATTTTTCGAAGTCAGTAAAGTAACTAAAGTTATCTGTCTATTGAAGAGCCGATATCTATCCAACTGAGAATCGCCTACGACCAATTTTATTATGGCCTAACTTAAGCAAGCTTTTTGAGCGATGTATAAATACAAATTATTCTGAAATGATGCGAATCAGAAGGAATTTATATTGATAAGCAGTCCCAAATCGGCCCATACTGGGAATCTTTATAGATTTTATGATTGCATTCGAAAAAATGTCACACTAAATTCTTATTTCAAAGTTGTTAGATTTTAAAATCCTATTAAATCGCACACCTTTTATATATGAATTGCTAACAGGACGTTCACTACATATACAATACGGTAAAGGTTTATTGAGAAATGTAGGTAATAATGCAAATGCATTCCAGGGTTCAGCATTATCGATAACTTTATGTAGATTGTTATTCGCTGATGACCTGGCAATCTTGATAAAAGGATGGATTGAAAAAAACTATCACAAAATATAAATCAACTGTAATAACATTCTGAAATAACAATGTTCGCGTTAGAGAAAAATATTTAAACAATATTTTTTTTCCAGTACACCAAATTTCATGCTATTTCATAATACCGTTGCCTCTTGAATACTCTAATGTATTCTTTGAGAATTAGATTTCTTGTAATACAAGTAATAATTACAACCTTTTTTTAGAGAATAACGAGAACCGAATATGTAGTGTAAGAAGGTAGCAGAGACTCTCTGAACAAATAAAGTATTGTTCTATAAAACATTTTTGAATTAATAAACGTAAGTTTTTATGTCAAAAGTTTAAAGTACTACAAGAATTCCTCAAAATACGTACAGCTACTATGGAGTAACTAAATTTCAAGATACTATTTTTTTGCGAAAGACTGCTTCGTTCTATTATGTTTTGAATTTTGAATATGAAAACTATTTGATTAGTCAATGACGAAATTCACATACGAGCATTTGATATTTTAATCTCGTAATAGAATCACATTTGTCAATATCTATTTATTATTTATCAACATAAAGTATGCTCTATTATTGATTCCATTATAAAAAAAAAAACGTTTGAGAATCTATGTGTTACGAATATTACGATGCAAAAGTAAATAAAAAATTAAAATTTGATAATAGAGTTTTTTTTTTTTTATTTTGATTATTGTTGACATTGTTGAAATATTTCTTTCCATTTTGATGGCATTACATCAAGTAATTCTTGATAAAATGTTTGAATACGAGAACGAGTTAATAATCTATGATTATTTCTACCCATTTGTGCAACAATACTACCTAAATTAATTCGATTTGTTTCATCTATACTTGCTAATATATCATTAGCCATTCGTTGAACATTTTCACGTGCTTTATCTGTTCTCAATAATGTATCATCACTATTTGATAGATTTAAATTATATGCATTAGCAAATTCTTGTAAATTTCGAAGTTTACGTGCAAGAATTATTTGAGATACATTTCGATGTTTCAATGGTAAATGTTGTTTAATAGTTTGAATATTATATTTTGATTCTTCATTATTATCTTCAATAGGTAATGGTGAGAGATCAGTATCCTTTATAGTTTTCCAAATATTAACAAGATTATTAACATCACTATGACGCATTGTTTTATTATGATCACGAACAGTACGAACATCATCATGCCAAAATTGAGCTAGAAAATATTCATTTAATAGAAAAAAATAAAAATAAAAGAAAATTGTGTTACCTATTTCATCATCACGTACAATTGGTACAACTTCTTTTATTCGTAATATGACCATTGCTACGACTAATAGAAGAAAGATACATAAATACTTGTTTTCAAGATATAATCAATATTTAAGATTTAGTGCTAATATGTTTCTAAAGATTATTAGTTATGAATTTGTTCCTATCTATTTCTTTAATTTGAGTATATTTTATCTTCGACAAAGTAATGCTTCATTCACATACTCAAATTTATTTCATATTCACAAACCTTACAAATTCAATCTATACAGTAGTTTCAAGAAGTCTCACTATCGAATAAAACATGTGTAAACTTTAACCCTGTTGCTCTACTATTTTGACTAAAATTAGAATTCGATAAATGTTGATTGCAAGCAACAATTCAAAATTGATAGACCTTAATACAAAGGATTCAGGATGAAAACACTAGAAGATACCGACTATTTTTTGATGATTCTCATAAAGTTTCCTGTAGATTCTTATACAATTACATAATCTAACTTACCTATAATACAAATAATATTTGTTATAGTTAATATAAATGAAAAAATACCCAGTAAACCAACTTCAGTTGCCATATGACATGAATAAATTGGAATATAATCATTTCCAATAAATTTTGTACAATTTTTTCCAATATTTATCAATGAATTTAATCTTTCATGATATTCATCATTGGATGATTGTTTTCCAATAGATGGTATCAAAGCTGATAATAACGAATAACTAGAAAGTAGACCAGCATTCACTGCCGGTGGTAGAAGACTGGCACTGATAGCTACACCAACCTAAATATCTCGGCAACTATGAATCAAAATTTTCATATGAAATAACTTTCATACAAGACTTCCAACATTACCACCAAGAACACTAAGAGCTGCACCAGCTCCTGATGGTAAAGCAACAAGAGCACCAGCCCATAAACGACGAATATCACCTCTTTATTTAGAAAGAAAAACATCTATCATTTAAAAAAAAAATCTGAAAATCTTCTCTTGAATACCTCGAACGCATTTCATGCGTTGGAAATGATGTTGATGAACCCCATTTGATTTCAGACCATGTTGTACAAAGTCCAACAATAAATCCTGTAACTATAGTAATTAATAAACCAATTACTTCTGTTCTTAAACCAACTTTCCATAATGTTGAATCACTGATACATAAACCAAAAACAATACCTAATATTGGACCCTGTCAAAACAAAATTTTTTTAAAATTTTTCTTAACCTATTCATTATCTTACCATTAATGGAGATACTAACATCGAAGCAACAAGTATTCTATTTAATTTTTTTCTTGATAAAAACTTTTGTGTTTTTTTTTATTTATAAACAAAATAACTTACACAGAATTATCTTCTAATAAACCCATTGAAGCAATAATTGATGCAAGTATTGTTAATACAAGAAAATCAAATGAAAATAATGTTTGTCCACGTATTGCATTTACAACTTGTAAAACAGTTAAACGTGCACGAATACTTCGTTTAAAATCACTTTTATTTGTATTAAGTTGTTCATTTAATACTTTATCATTATTTACTAAACATTGAGATTCATTTGAATTTATAATTTCTTTAGCTGCTTCATTTAAATTATTTATTTCAATAATAGTTGGTGATGATGATGAAAGATTTTCAATACCAAGTGCACATGATAAAGGAAGAATAAAGACTTTTGATCCTTGACGAATACCAATTTCAGCTAAACGTAATTCATTTATAATTAAATCAGAATGTTGACCTAATTCAGCAAAACAAGTTATAAAAAAGTGTTGACGATCTTCTGAAAGTATCTAAGAAGATAAATGAGAGATAAACTTAAAAGAAAGATTCAATTTACATTAAGATCTTTACCCAAATAGCGTCAATTAAATTTAATTTTGGACTTATGTGATAACGAAAGCGTGATGTTAATGAAAGACCACATGTAGAACATGGAAATTCTTTTGAATGTTCGACATCAGATATTGGGTTATTAAGTTCAATTGGTAATGCAGATGGATCTTTCACAATCTAGCTAATAAAATATTTTTTAATAAAACGTAAAATTTAATATCTTACTTGTGCTGTATCAAGTACTTTTTCTTGATCTGTATTTAAATCATTCGGTATAATAATAATCAATATACCTTGTCCAGCCATTTTTAATAAATGTATTACACATCTAATTCATCATTGGTTGAAAACATGAGCAAATTTTTTCATTTTTTTTTTCAGCATTACTAGAGATGACAACAAAAATGGTTGTCATGATACATACATCATCAAGTACACATCAAAAGAATGTGCTTGAGAATCAATGCAAAGGAAAGAAAAAAAAAACTTGTAAATGGAACTATCATCCTGTTTTCATGGATAATGTGATGTTGTTCTATTGAATAAGTGTTGCATATGCTTATGAACGTCGAATTGTAGTTAGTTAATCAATAAAACAAAAGAGTCAAAGAAAACTTTGTCAAATTATATCATGAAAAATAAAATTTTTGTCGTCTATAGACGAAGTCATCATATTATGAACAAAAAAATTTTGCATTGCATTTTTTAATTCTTTCATGCAATTCTTTCATTCTATTTTCATTTCTATCCCTAGCAAGATATCGAATAACGAAAGTTCTATATACTACTACAGCTCACTCTTAGGAAACTAACCTATTCTGGAAATTCATGCCATTATTGAATGATTTACAGCTGACAAACACTCTTTATTGATATTTCTAGAATTGTTTAAACAGTGCCTTTGTGTAAAATAGTGGAGATAATGACTGCAGAGTTGAAAAATAATTTCACGCAATTTGACTCTGTATAAAATGACAAACATTATATAATAAAAATTACATATAAACATCTCTGCAACGATCTGTAAATGTTTATTTCTCACAATACAATTGAATATCAATGCCAATCTTTTTTTATCGTATCTGTGAATTATGCTGTAATCTCTATCAATAAATAAGACATATTGTATCGATGTCGTGATAAGGATTTCAGATTCCAATCAAATTAAATCTTTATTCAATACATCGACGAGAGTAGTCATCAAATGAAATCAAACACCCAAGGATGAATATGTTTATCCTTATTGGGAAATTTTTTTGGTGCCGAACGATTCTGGATCGATGGAACCACTGTAGATGAGTTCGATGATATGGCTGTGAGTCTTCTATTTATTCACATCTATATTTTTCTTCTATACTGATAATATGAGCTGTAATTTTTCTATCGACAATTAAAAATTGTTTTTGATGGTTTATGAACACAATAGAGATTAACATGTCAAGGCTACCACTATCTTTCCTAAACTCTAAGGAAATATTCAAGTACAAATTTCATTTAGAATGTGTTAGTGACAGAATTGATTCGGCCATCAATATTGTAATATTCACTTTAGACTTCTTGTCAAAAAAGGATAAACTTGTCGAAAAAAAGAATGTTTCAGGTTAGTTATGTATCGAATGTTTCTCTCTGTAGTTTTTTATAGATTTTTTGCTCAAGATCATTGAATACAGCTATCGTCACGATGACATTCGAGTTTTGACAATCGTACAAACATTGATTTAACGTTTCAATAGCAATAATAGCAGCCTCCAACATCGGATAACCATAATACCTGGTTGATATGCATGGAAATACAATGCTTGTACAACCATTTTGAACTGCTATCTGGAATGAGTTTTTATAGCAGTTAGCAAGCAATATTGGCTGAGGTTTGTTGCGTTCATCTAAATACGATCCAACAGTATGAATTATATATTTATAATTAGAGTTAAATCCAGGCGTAATTACACTATATCCAGTATGACATCGAACACCTTGATCGTTAGCTGGCAGTTCTGAACAAAAGCGTTTCAATTCTTTTCCAGCAATGTTATGTATCAGAGAATCAAGTCCACCACCACCAAGTAATCCTTCGTTTGCTGTATTGACTATGGCATCCGCTTTCACATTAAGTATATCACCATAGTAAATAAGTAGATTTTTATGTAGATTGATATGTTTTGTCTGTTCAAGCGATTGTAAATTCAAAGTTTTCAGATCTTCATCATGGTCTTTTCTTTCGTTATGGCTTGCTTGCTTACTATGAATGTCCGACATCCCTATGCTGGACGATTATTTTTCGTAGATCTGAGGAACGAAGCTCAATAAAACAGTTTTGAAAAATATGATCTAAAAGTAACGTTGACGTATAAGAGTAAGAAAAAATAAATCATCCTCATCTTCCCCACAGATCATAGTAGACATTGTTTATAAAAGGTGTCTCATAAGTTTAGATTCCCTTTAAATAATACTCCTTTGTTATATATTTTTTCGGTAGAATAGACTAATATTCACAGCATATATACTAGACAACTAGGTCTACTCTTTGCTGAAATTTCAGCTTTCTATTTCCTATAGTCATAGACGTTCTTTTGAAAATGAAAAGTACACAGTTAGGATAGGCTTTACTATGTAAATTGTTGGTACAGTTGATTTTTTTAATAGAACGTATTGCATGATGAGAAAAGAAAATACAAAATGCTGCCTTATATTTTGATCCATCGGTTATTCCAAAAAATTTCAATGAATTTTAAGTTATTTAAATCTCTGTGACTATAATAAGTAGAAAGTTGAAATTCTAGCGTAAACTAGATCTAGATGTCTAGTGTATATGCTCTTAATATTAGCTTATTCTACATCAAAATTTATCTCGAGAGAAGCTGTATTTATGAGATATCAGGTTGTCATTTTATAAAAAGGTATGTTTAGTCAAAATATGAATTCATATATTCATTTAATCTGTCTATGAAATACATCATTTTTTCCAAAAAAACAAACGCGTCATAAAGTCAGCATGTTAACGCATTAATAAAAATATCATTTTTCAGTAGAAGAACGAGAGCAAAACTTCGTTTAAATGTATCACAAATAAATTTAGTTCAACACAAAAAAAATTAATGCATTCGAACTAGATTTTAGTGAGCGTTGATTGAAGAGGAAAAACGTGTTGTCTCAAGATAATCATACGCATACATCTAGTTCTTCAAATAATCTTTTCGATTTTGCTCAGCAAAAAAAAACAGTTCAAAATGACTGTCAAATGAACAAGTTAGACGTATAATGTTCAACAAAATTGAAAGTCGATGGACTCACGAAGTCAAAAGCAACGACTCAATAAATAAAAGTTACATATTCGAATAGCAGTAAAGCACGATCGAATTATAAACGTTTCCAAATCAAGAGTCAGGCATAAGATCGGTTGTATCAATGGGTAAATTCAAATATCGAAATCCTGGTATGTCTCTGACTGGTATATTGGGTTGCAAATATTCTCGTACACCTAATTGTCCACTTGAATTCTTAGTGAAGCCGCTACCATCAAATAATTTTGCAAGACCTAATCGATTGTAGAGAAAGCCACGTGACTCTTCAAGTGTTCCTTCACATTTTAAAAATCTTTCTTCGGACATGAATCGAGGATCGGCTGAGTTGCCATTAACAGCCAATTCATTGATGTCAAAGTAAGTTGCTCCATGAAGGTATGACAATCGTGCACGGGCCTCAATCTCATCGAAACTCATTTGTTTTAATGCTTTTTCATGTCGACGAATCTTCGCGGAAATAGACTTCGGATAGTAGATGTCGATTAATGATAGTACTCCGTCCCATGTAGCTAGAAGACATTCAGGTGACCTATAAAATATACCCAGTTGAAAGTATTCGCCATTTTCCAGTTTTCTTCGGATCCATTTGTCCTCACATCCAATGGAACGTAGCGCTTCTAGGTTGGATTGTACGAGAAAAAGTGATAAACCATCGTCACCCATGACCCATGCAAATTTCTTTACGGCTGGTCCATCTTTTTGTAGATATTCAAAATCCGTTTTTTTCGAACCTCGAGTGATTCGACCTGCCATTTGTTGTAAATATTTATTCTTGATCACGCTGTTCACATTGTCCAATTTGTGTTTACTCGCAAAAATTGATGTAAATGCTTCAATGGCACTATCACTTTCTGGCATACTTAAACTTGTCATTCTATGTATGTGAATCAGTGTTCCGAATGAGAATTTGAAATATAGTGAGATATTGCACTCTTTTTCCGGATGTAAAGTGAGATGTTGCACTCCGTTTCAAGAACCAAAGTGCAGCAAAGTGAAAATGTATAAATACGTCTAGAAGAAATAAATAATAGTTTATATTTCATACTGTAGACTTCTATTTGTGTGTATACATAGAAGTAATAATTTTAAAAATATGTGTAAATTATCATTTAGTAGCAAAATTTAAATCAAGTCGAAAGGAAAAATACAAATACAAATCATCATTAAATCACAAGATTAAAAAAATCTAAATCATCGATGATGACTATCTGTACATCTAGATGTTCATTCTAATTAATCAAAAATAAATACAATTTGGAAGGAGAGCTATTGCAACATATTAAAGTTTGGGGAGTCGATAAATTTTTCAAACAACTGCTATAAATTATCGAAATTTTGAATGAAGAACTTGAGAAATTTATTGAAAAATTCTGAAAATCTTTGAAAATTTTAGAAACTTTCAGGTTTCTCTAAGATTTTTGAAGTGTCTGAAAATTTGCAACAACTTTTCAGAATTTCTAGAAACCTTTGATCATTTTTAAGGGGTATTTAAAAATTTGTCGAAGACTCTTCCAAAACTTTTTGTATCGTTGAGTCATAAAAACAAAATTTCTAAAGATAAGGGGATAACCACTCGCTCGCGACAACTCCGCTTCGAAGTCATTTGGTTGTGACTGTTATTTGAGCTTCCTTTTGATTGATCAAATGATGATCTGGTTGATTGAACTAAAAGTTTTTCTATAGATGCTATTTGAGAGTGTCTCTATGACTGTTTTTTTCTTCATTTTCTGAAATGAGAATAAGAAAAGACTATTTGCTTGAATGAAAGAACATAATAAGTAGAAGATTAATTGTAAAGACGAAATAACCAATATAAAACAAAGTGAAAAATTTTATAATAGAGTGCAGCACGTTCATTCTATTTTTTCGAGTGGAGTGCAAAATAGCGTGCAAATCCAAATGAGTGCGTGGTGCACTCACTTTGATTTTGCTTGGTGCACTCATCATTCGGAACACTGATGTGAATCGATCAAAATGTGGATGAAAGACACGCACAACTCTCCTTCGAATGACACAAGCGTGATTACACTATAAGACTACAATTGCGTGTTTTTTTTCATTCTGCAAAGTCACAGAAAAGAAAGCAAGAAGGAAGATGACTCATGTCATAAACAACATGTCACGTATGCCCAATAAGAAAAAAGAAAATAGTTGCCCAATGAAAATGATGTGAGTGTAGATGAAGCTCAATGCAAGTGTGTGTGTCACTGTACATCTTCTCCTGATCCATACAAGCCACCCACACCTTGATTCGGGAAGCACACGATATACGACTAGATCAAAGCAGATATTTATTGATATGAATAAATAATACATGTATAAATAAAATTAAAACTTATTTCCTCTGTTGATCTGAGTAGTCGCCATTGGTATGATGCGAAGAGTTTGTTGAGTCTTATATTGTTTGAGATAGTGGTACATGAGTCGATAGGCAAATTCAACCACACTCAAGACGCTCAGACCGATCCATCTAGGCATAGTATTGAATAAATGTTGATTAAATTACAGAAACATATTTACTTACAGGCCTGTTTGCTCAACAATGGCAGAAAAAGTATCAATTATTGTCAATTTAGGTGCTTGTTTATACTCAGTAACATACTTACTACCACATGAAACTAGAACTTTTAAAGAATTTCGATCAAAATAGTAACCAAAACGTTGTGCAAAATCGTTGGGCAACAAAACTTAACTAGAATTTTTTTGAACTAATAGCTTATATCATCATTCACTTTCTCCTTTAGATGGGCCCGATCGTGCACTGAGATGATTGTTGAAATACGTATGCAAACATTGAGGAACACAATATGAACACCAAAATCTTTGAAGATTATTGCTAGCCAATAATTTTTGTTTAGCATCAATTGTGCATGTTAATTGATTAGTAAATGTGTCGGAGAAATTAGCCGAAATGAGTTGACCATCAAGTATGAAAACATTTCCTGCAAAAAATGGTATCGATAAAATGCATTAACATTGTGAAAAAATATAAGCCTGTTCACACAATTCCAAAACATAAAGATTCCGGAAATATTTTTTTTTAACATTTCGTTAACTTCATTTCTATTGACTTGCTAGTAGCGATACTATTTTAATATGATCGAAAGAAACTGAACATGCTAAAATGAATCTATTGAATGCATGTTATACTTCCGATTCATATTCCATTAAAATTAAAAAGTAATGTAATGGCTCGTTTTGTTGATACTCCCGAAGAAAAGCATGGAAGTTGGTGTCGTTCTTTCAAACAACAATTCAATTATAATTGTTTGATTCGTCGATTCCATGAATAATTCTTATCATACAATCTTAACATATTTTCTCAATTGCAATGTTTGCATTGTAAATATCTATCGAGTATTGGATATGAAAAATTTTATCATATAAACAGATCAAAATGCTGATGTAAACGGTTTCAACCATTAACATTCAGCAGGACATTCTCATTGTACTATGTCTAAATTGAACACGTTCTACATATAGTGACAAAGTGATTAATGATAAGCGAGTAACTGCTATTTCTCTCATTCTTATTGAATTTCTTTGACGAAGAATATTCTGATGATTTTGTTTGTTTTCTAATCAACAATTGAAACATAGACGACGACAAATTTCTCATTTTATGTGGTTACCCTTTTTTGATGTTAATCGATTTTCAAAATATGAAGCATGAAATTTTTACTAATCACCTATCCCTTCTGTTGTACGATGAATGTCTGTTAGAACAGGGGGCGAATGTATTTGACGTTTTGATTACTTTTCTGTAATTAAACTGAATTTGAATGCCACAAGATAAGAGCAGAAAGTCTCTGCATTATTTGTCATTTTTTTGTCATGAATGTACTAATCATAAGATAACACAGTTTTTTTTTATATATACGTTATACTTCGTTCTATGCATATTGTTTCAAACTCTTGTCTGGCTGTTATTGTAACATTAACTTTCTTAACAATTCTGCACTTTTGAAGAGAAACATTCTTCGATCGACTCTCATTAAAGTTAGTATGCACAATGTGCTTTACATACACTATTCGGTACACTAATCCTAACCTGTAGCGAAGTGAAAAAATTCAGATCGTGAGACAATAATTGAAAAGGATCGTATGCCATGAACGATTTGTCTGATTTAATCTTTTAATGAATCTGAAATGATTAATCTTTAGTAAAACACATCCGAATATTAAATGAGAGGGACAAACATGCATTAATACCATTATGAATTTTTAAATGTTCACAGCATGTTTTACTTAGTACGCAGACAGACAAAACAAAATATTCTATATGTCATATGCAGTGCTGAATAACTTCAATTCTAAGAAGAAGAAAAGAAAAACAACTTTCAAAATGATTATCGAAGCAGTACAGAAAACGCGATTTTTATTGTCTTACATAATTGTTTTTCTTCGATCAATAGCAATCCTTATTAATCTGAAGCATTTATAGGTACATCTTTCTCATTGGTATGCATTCATGTTGATTGAGGATTTGCTGAAATAATATATTAATCGTATTCGACAATTCATGTCTCTTTTTTTTTGAGATTAGAGTTTTTATTAATGGTTGAATCTTTTTCAATGCCATTACAATATGTTCTTCGGAAAGAAATTTGTTAGCGATACTATCAATGAGATAAAAACCTGAGGTTGCCATGCGTATACTCTAATAATAAAGGAACATTGAAGCAGAAATAAGAGACAGATATAAACATTGTGACCTGTCAAATAACGAATACGGTCATGAAGAAAAGAGAATTCATCAAATGTTTTTTTTTTCTCTTATTATCTTTGATTAAATGAACATGAAAGTAGTCACATAAAAGCTTCTAATGAAATTTTATGTCAGTGGTTCTCATGGCTAGCTTTTCAGTAATTATTTTTAGGTATGTAACAGATTATGATTCCATGGAACAATCATCAAGGTTGTTTCGTTTCGCGTCCTGAGTACTTAGCCTTTTCAAAGATACTTCATTTTTTCCAAAAGTAATCAATTTGCTGAGCTTTCGTGGTTACTTTTAAGAAATTTTTAAAATCTTTTTATGAAACATGATTCATACCAACAACATTCAGTTGATAGAACCTTTTCGTTTTATGTTGGTACCGAAGTTTACCCACAATAGATCTAACTTGATTTGGTGTGAGTATTGGCTTTTAATTTTTCGCTATAAGCTAATTTAATATGTTTGTAGATAATAAATAAAACTTCACTGAAAATGATATTTCAATTAGAAATCTGCTGTATTCTCTTTGGTCTAAAATGACTTCTTTTTTTTTCAGTCAGAACCATGAACAAAACTTGGAAAAAAATATTTTGAAATATTTTAGTGTCATCCGTAAGTAGAGCAAGAATAGGTTTGAATCCATTGGAATGTAATGCTCTTCGCCGAAAACAAGATTGTCGAAAACTCACATCGCCTACTCGACGTGGAAATTTACGGTGAATTTCCACGTCGAGTCGGCGATGTGAGCTTTCGACGATCTTGTTTTCGGCGAAGAGCATACTTACCAATTCTCAATGCCTAAAAAAAGCTCTCAAAAAAAAAATAGCGCTCTAATTATAAAAGTACTCTTTTATGTAATCGTAACGATGCTTAAATCAAAAAAGAGACTATGATGCTTTGATCTTTCAAACAAAAAGAATTAAATGTATCGAATAACGATTCCTAGATAGTTCTGGATGATGTAATCAATAATATAGAAATAAAGAAAAAATGAAAAACATTTTTCAGGCAGATAATAATAGAAATCATCAAAAATTTTAGCAAAAAATGAAATACCCGAATGAAATTTCATGTCATTTATGAAAGATCAGGTGGCAAGCAATCTGCTTACACATTTGTATTGATTGTCATTTTTTCTTTTGTGCGTGTTGATCTTAGGATTGACGAGTTCAGATAAATACATTTATCGATGATTAGACTTGATATTCGATCAGTAATAAACAAAAGAAAAAGACATTCTCAATCGACAATAATTTGGATTAAGTCATGAGAAGATTTGTAAAGAACAGATCAAAAGCCTTACTTTTGAAATAATAAACTGATGAATCAGTTTCTTTCATCAATTTAAGTTTCATAAATAAACGATGTTCATGATTAATTTGACAATATGAATCAATTCATCTAGAATAATTAATCTGAAGCAAATTATTTTTTTGAAATACTTTGGAATTCTTCAATGGATGAAAACTTGTTACATTATATTTTGCATCTTTGAATAAGCAAAATCAAATCAAATCATAATTCAAATATTTAGGCAACAAGACCTCGAGTGCATAATAGATATATTTAAAAGTCTCTTTCGTTAAAGCTTGCAATGTGTAAAGAACATGCAAGACTAGTCAATTGTTTCGAGTCCATTACTCTATTCACAATAAGTTGCAATAAATCCACTATTTATAGATTATATCCTCATGACCTCAAGGAAAATAATAAAAAAAAAGATGTTTCAAATATTTTCCGTTCTACATAGTTGGCACACAATCATTAGAGTGATAATACAAAGAGAAAATGAAAAATTAACAATCCACATTCTTTTTTAAGATAACTATATAAAACGCAAAGTATTATATTGCAGTCACATTAGATAATATACTGGTCGAGTGACTACAGACATCGTTAGAATTAATCGTATATGCTCAGTTTCATGTGCAACACAGCAATTCTTCTAACGATGCTTCAGGCCATGTATAATTTTTCTTTTATTTCGGTTAAAAGAAATTAGTAAGAAAAAAAAACAAAATCAAATACGCATTTTCAATTAAAATAAAACTATGTCATCATCATCATCAACAGTTCAAGTAATTGTTTCTATCTCTCAATATATTATGATTTATCTTGGATTTTCTGTTTTATTGATGGGAACTATTGGTAACATAATAAATATTATCGTATTACATAAACTTCGACTTTTTCGAAGAAATCCATCTGTTTTTTACTTTACTGTCGAGTCTATTGGTAATTTAGCTCAACTTCTTATTAATTATCCAACACGTATTATGATGGATGGATATACCATTAATTATACGAATATGTCACTAGTTTGGTGTAAAATTAGAGCATTTCTTGCTACAGTTCTGACTCTCATATCTATGTATATAGTGTGCTGTGCATCTTTTGATCAATATCTTTCAACACACTATCTAATCTATTTGAGACAAAAGAGTACCCATTCGTCGGCCAAATATCTTACATTTATCACTATTTTCTTTATTATTCTACATGGTATTCCATTTATTATTCTCTTTGATCTACCACCTTCAATGGTTTGTACAACTTATAATACAATATTCAGTCGATATTATTCATCTGTTTACTATCCTATTGTACAAGGTGCATTACCAATGATAATTGCATCATTATTCAGTTTTTTGGCTTTTCGAAATGTTCGCCGAATTGTTCGACGACAAATTCCAATTGTACGTCGTCGACTTGATCGACAATTCACAGCCATGGTTCTTGCTCGTGTCGCTTGTCTTGTAACTTTTATTCTACCCTATGCAATCTATCGAATATATGTACTTAATATAATTGTCAATCAAGATCAACTTGTTTTATTGGCCATTAATAATAATCTACTGGCATCACTCACTATTACATTTTTCTATGTTAATTATGCAGTAAGTCATCTATGATTAATATTTTAATGATGCTTGTATGCATTTTTTTTTTAAGGTAAACTTTTATATTTTTATGGCGACATCAGCACATTATCGGCATCAAGTAAAATATGTCATAATGAAAAAGTTTTGGTTGCCATTCAAACACTGGATTTGTCTTCGATTGAGATGTGCGAAAGAACATCGTATTACACCCGAAGGAACTCAATCTTATAAAAATTCTATCGAACTAGAGTAATCTTGCATTGGATGTACCATTGTAAACCAAAACTATCCCATGCAATATTTCTCTATTATCAATACCTACGAATAAAAAGAACTACTCAATATGCCTGGATATTGTATGAGAGTGTGGTTGTACATCTTACTTTTACTCAGATCACCTACATTCACCTCCTTTGAGCATGAATACCATTGAAATGCAAGGTTTATTTTAAATAGAAGAAAACACCAAGTTATCAGTTGAATTAAAATTATATTTTCATCATGAAGAATTTTGCTTATTCCTCATTAGCAAAATGCAGAACTTTATATATATCGTAGTTGCATTGTTCAATGTTGTTTTTCACGATTAACAATGTTACAATGATATCTTGAAAAGATGTAAATAAGAGTTTATATAATTTAAATAATATTGGTTAGTCTTGAAGTTCATCTGAAAATTTACTAATTATTGTGAAAATTAGTATTGCTTTAACGACGATTATATTAGTCATTGGTCTTATCAATAGTTCTTTTTCAATAATGACATTTCAAAGGAAAGAATCAAATAAATCAGATTGTAGATATTATCTTTTAACTACATCCATCGTTTCATTATTTACATCAATTTTATTTTCAATTAAATTCTAGATATTAATTCTTTCACAAATATCTTGTATTTCAATTAATTTTTTTTCTTCGAGTATGTCCAATAATTGTCGATTGACTTTAATGCTTACAGTAAGGATGAACATGAAATCTGATAAAAACAAAAGTAGACAAACAACTCGATGGATTATTATTGATATTTTTGTTAATTAATAATATTCATCTTCACTTGAAATATATAATTCATTTTTTTTTATTCCATTTTTGATAAATCTTCTTACATCGATAATGATCATTGTTGTTGCTGCTCGAAAAAGTTTTAGAGCTCGATAACAACTAACTTATCAAGACCATCTAAAAAAAACAACAATTTCGTTTATACAAAACTTTTACTTGTCAGTTCGATTACTTTAGTTTTACTTGCTACACATAGTTTGTTAATATTATTTACATCTAATTGTATGAAATCGGCTCGAAATTCATCGTTTTATCTTGTTGGTTACTTTATTTTATTTATTTCACTGTCTCTTACATTTATTGTATTCATTCTCCCTTCAAGTTTCGTACATAAAAGAATTTAATGAAGCAAATCGAAGACTTTGAATCCTTGTTCTACGAACATTAAACATTGTCTAATCTATATTACTTTATTTAATCATGCTTTACATCAGTTTATTATATTGTATTGTTTATATTAAAAGAAATGTTGACAGTACTGAAGAGAACTTTTTTTAATGTTTCTTATTTTTTTTTGCAGTATTCTTTCATGTGAAATTAAAAATAAAAATTAATCAGATGAAAATATAAAAATGCTTGTAAATGATATATATGATCTTCTGTAACCAGAATACTATTTATACTATACAAAAGAGTATTTTTGAGACAAACATTAATAATACGAGACATTAACAACAATCGCTAAAGTGATATATTCACAATAAAAATTTGATAATCAATTTTAACGAGATCGAAAATTATCATCAAGAAATCTTATTGTATAAAAGATCTCAATATAATTAGACATATTCTTTTTCAGAACGAATCCTCAAAATAAGAAATACTTCTAAAACAGTTTGTGAATAATTTTTTCAATTTGAAAAGTCTGTATTTCGGAATTCTTTTCAGTTAAATGGATGGATAAAACTGAAACGAAAGCAAAAAAAAAAAAACTAATGCTTGAGAAGCTCTAATGATATAAGCTTCGACAAAAATTTTAGATCTATCCAAGACTCTGTAATGAAAAAATGAGATTTTTCAAAAAAAGCTGCCTTTTCCAAGAAATATCAGTTTTTTGAAAAACATCAGTTATTGCCTCTAGAAATTATGAATGAACTGAATTTCTTTTGCATTTTTATGTCTAAAAGTCTAGAGTGAATTTAAGTTCGAATACACCATCGGTTAAAAGGACTTTTAACGCTACCGAAGACCATCATTAAACGTGTCTTTTTTCCTTGCAATATTAAAAAAACTACGTAGAATATAAAATG